AGCCAAGGGCTTTCTTAAAGCCGCAACATGATTTACTGTGGCTTCCAAGAAGAGAGATTTATACAGAATTTGTAAGAAGGGGACAGACACAGAACAGGGTTAAGGAGCCTACCTTTCATGGGGCCCACCCCAGTTGGATCCTTGCCCTCACATGCTCTCCTGAGCACTGCCCCCCACCCCGAGATTCGTTAGGAAATGACCACAGGACTGAAGAGCAAGGCTCCCTGGCACAGAGGTAAAAATCCCACAGACGTTTATTTCTCAAAGATTGGATGGAATGTTCCACACACAACAGCAGTTCTGTACAAGAATGATATGCTTAAGAATCTAGTATTTCACAGCATTACAGCTGTGAAGTAACTTTCAACACTAATACTTTTATTCATTTTTTTAATTTAATTTTTGGCCTTGGGGCCACACCTAGCAATGGCTCAGGGCTTAATCCTGGCTCTGTGCTCAAGGATCACTCCTGGTGGGGCTTGGGGGGAGCGTATGTGGGGATGCTGAGGATCAAACTCGGGTCAGCTATGTGCCAGGCAAGTGCCTTACCTGCTGTATTACTGCTCCAGCCCACTAATATTCCTTTGGCCCACGTACTGTGAGTTACAAAGCCACTGGTGCTAGATAGCTGACTGGGTAGATCTTATTCTTCCTTCACAGATATTCAAGCATAAAAAAACGGGCTAAGAGCCTTGCATGTGAGGCCCAGGGTTGAATCCCCAGTACTACACACACACACACACACACACACACACACACACACACACACACACGGCCAAGATCATTCATCAAGGTCACCTAGCTAGTTAATATGACCAGGCTATAACTCATAATACAACGCTCCTTCCCCTATAAAACACTGCTGCTACTGCCTGGCACTCATTCACCCCCATCCCATAAAGGGCAGAAAGCAATCCTGAGGATTACCATGAGACACGATTACACAGGAGACAGCAAGCTCCTCGCCAAAGACTAGACACCCGGGTCCCTTCCAATCTGGAGCCTGAAACTAGCCCTTTGACTCACTTTCAAATCCCTAACGGAGCCTTAGCCTGGGCATGTGGCTCTGTGCCACAGACAGGCCTCGCCTTCTAACTGCCAGCAACGGTCATGTCCCTCTGAACAAACACACTCCCATACTTCCGTTATTTTTACATAAAACAACAAATAATTACACCTCTCGTTTCAGAAAACAAAGGCAGAACATTTCAGGAATGACAGGGAGGTCTAATTCTAACATTAAGGAACCAAAAGAAAAAAGAAAGCTGAAAAAGGTGGCTAAGGGATAGGAATATGGTAAGCCTCAAAGAAAACTCATCCTTTTTCTCTCCTGAAAAAAAAAATCAGAGAAAGGGGCTCTTGGGTGCAGCAACATTTCAGTAAGACTCACCGCAGGGAGCCTTGGTGCGAGCATCTCCCTGGGAACTGCGAGCTGTGGAGGCCAAGAGGGAGCCTATGAGCCCCCCATCAGCGCCACAACGTGACAATGTCACCACCAGAGTAAATGAAACGGGAACCGGGGATGAGGGGGGGTCTGAGAAGGGAAACAATCTCCATGACAGGGTGGATTTAAAGACGCAAAGGGCAGCTGACCTGCCGGCCCCCCACTACGTAGGAAGGAGAGAAGATCCAGGGTAAGAAGGCGGCCCGGGCCTGCCCAGGTGAGGAAGAGCCCCGAGCACTTCAGCCCTGAACAAGGCAGCCAGTCCAAAGGGTCCATCTGGCCACACGGCCCTGCTCAGGGACGCGGAGGATGATGACGCTCTCCAGGAGTGGCTGGAGCCACCCGACACCCCCAGGCCCCCGACGGCATGCTCCACTACTCCTATGAGCCCCCAATTAGGGACCAAAGCAAGAGAAGACACCGTGGGCTTGTCCCCAGTCAGCAGACACCTGTCCAGCGAGTGGGGACCGGCACGGTCACCAGCAGAGAACACCAAAGCTCAGCTAGCAGGGACCGCACCAGGAGAGCCCCAGGAGCTGGGGGCCTTCCTGGGTCCCTCAAGGACTCGCACTACTGGTGCTCTCACACGGCCTAACCCAGAAGACAAAGGAGCCCTGGTAGGAGCTCTCAGGACCGAGGACAACGGCAGAAATGACAAGATCCACTGCCACTGGGGAGGCAACACCCTGGGTCAGACGCTGGTGACTTGACTTGCCAGGCTGGGAAAGGAAAAGGCTGGAGGACCTGCTGCCAAACTGGGCTCAGCGGGCACGGGTGCGACTTCTCTAGGTGAAGGAAAGGAGAACGCTCCTGCAGGGAAACAGGGGCCGAGAGCAGAAGTGCGTGGTGTACTCTGCACAGTATGTGTCATGGAGCCTGGATGGAGACAGAGCACGCAGACGAGGACCCGCTCTGGGAGAAGCCCCCTCCTCCACATTACCGGCCACTAGGAAATGCGACGGAGCAGGTGGGCAGCAGAATGAACAGACACTCTTCACTTCAAACCTTCTTAAGCCTTTGAGTCGCGTGCATTCTTTCATCAAACCTTACATTTAACCAGTGTGTCATTAGTATAAAAGGATGTTAGGTTTAACTAACATGCTTATCCGTATGAGAAGAAGGCGCGGGGGCTGGGGCCGTCAGACAGGGCATGGCGACCTTGAGTCCAAACCTGGCACCGTGGGCGGTAGCCCTGGAGGCCCTTGGCTGCCAGCATGTCCCTGGGGCCCCTGGCCCCACAAAGCCCGAGCAGCACTGCGGCCTCGAACCCCGAAACTCAAGTGCCGGCCTCCTTGCGGAAAGTGGCCCAGGGGCCACTGGAGCACCATTTGGGAGGTCTCCCAGCCAAAAAAAAAGAAAAAGAAAGCACAAATAGCATTTCAGGACCCATCATCTGACTGTATACCATACTTGAACACCACAAACATGAATGATTAGAGCTTTTATGTTTCATCGAAACACCAAGGGGTCACCTATTAATTTATTATTCTCTGGTCACAGAAGAGAGTCAGAGGAGACTTCAAAATATTTCAGTTTCTAGGGACTGAGTACAACAGTTTAGCAGGTAAGGCAACTGGGTTAAATAATCCAACCAAAGGATACCTTTGCCTAGAATCTGACCCACCATCCCGTCTATCCTCATATATATCCCCATCTCCAGCTTCTTCATTATCACAAGAACCAACAAGTACCACGAAATACCCTAACTGCAGTTTTTCTGCTTGTTGTTGGGTTTCTTGGGGAGCCACACCCGGCGCACTCAGGATTTACTCTAGGCTGCATATGCAGGGAGTAGTCCCACTGGTGCTCGGGACCATACGGGGTGCCGGAAATCAAACGTGGGTTGGCTATGTGCAAAGAAGCACCCAACCCACCATCCTATCTCTCCGCCCCATCTGCATTGTAAAGAGAACACGAAGGGCAGGCTAGTGTGGGCCAACCTCCAAAGGCTGAGGGCTATGCGACGCTCACAGGGGAATCAGAAAGGGAAAGGGCTTGCTTCTCACCAGCTTTGTCTTAGCCAAGTGGCCAAGGAAGAGTTAAAGGGACAGGCTGGAGGCCAGAGAGAGAGAACGGGGGTAAGGTACTTGCAGCCCATCCTGCTTCAATCCCCAGCAACACAGTCACTGCCATGCAGTAACCCCAAGCACAGAGCCAGGCGCAGCCCCTGAGCACCAACGGGTGCGGCCTCAAATCCCAAAAAAAGCACCAGGGAAACAAAGGGGTGGGGAGTTCATCTCCTATACAAGGAACTCTACCTTGGAATTTGAGAGAAATGTTAAAGAACTTAATAGGTAATTAAATTTTATTTTTACATGAAAACAAAAACCAGTTTTCTGTGGCACGTGAAATAAACAAGAATTTTTAAGGCAAAAAGGACACTTCAAAAGAAATGTAATGCTGCATCTGATTTTTACTGGTTCTGGAGCTAAGATGGACACCCATTCATTCTTGAACCTGAGTCAGGAAGGTTTCAAAACTCCTACCCCAAGGAAATGAGGACAGTTTTCTCACTGACAGTGAAAAGGGTCATGAACAAGAACTAGAAGGGCCAGAAGACTAGTACAGTGAGAACAGCATTTGTGTTGGCAGGCAATGACCCAGGTTCGATTTCTGGCATCACTTATAGCCCCAAGCCCCACCAGGAGTGATTCCTGAGCATGGAAGCACCCTCAGGAGTAAGCCTGAGCACCACAGGTATACTCCCCCAGCACCCCCTAAAAGAGAACTAGAGACACTCGGATAGGTAGCCTCATTCATGCCACTGCGTGACCTTAATTCAGTTACTTAACAGCTCAGAGCCTGTTTCTCCATCTGCAAAGTGCAGCAATAGTTACTCATCTGTGGAATATAAAGTAACATAATAGGAGACTAATACCTAAGAATAGTAGAGATAAGGGCCAGGAGGTTCACTCCGTGGCCTGGAAGTCAGTCTCACATGCTGGGAAAAGGGTAGCTGGGACAGAGAAGCGACCACTAAGTAAAAGATGCTTGAAGGGCCCGCTCAGGATGGGAGATGCGTGCTGAATGTAGACTATGGAGCAAACATGATGGCCGCTTAGTACCTGTATTGCAAACCATTACACCCAAAGGGAGAGCGAGAGTAAGAGAGAATGTGCCTAACAGAGGCAGAAGGTGGGAAGGGGTGGCAGGAGGGATACTGGGAATATTGCTGGTGGAGAATGCGTTCTGGTGGAGGGATGGGTACTGGATCATTGTATAACTGAAACATAATCATGAAAGTTTGTAAGTCTGTAACTGTATGGTAATTGACTAAAACAAAAAATGTAGCAATAGTTACTTTGTAAGTTTATTGAAAGGAATGGAAACAGTACTCAGCCCACTACTGGACTCTGGAAGGAGTATAAAAAAGGAGGGCTACTATCATAACCATCACAAAGGTAATAGAATCTATTGGACAGTTGAACCATTTCTTTGGATTCAATTTATGAGAACAGGGCAAGGAAGCAAGACACAGAAACGACCACCCAACCAGGCACGGAGAAAAATAGAAAGACCGATAGAATTACCGAAGTGAAGAGTTTATCATACTTACATATTTCATTTCAAACTTCTTAGCCAACATTTCTACTTCTTGCCTCTCCTTATGCTCATCATTAAACGGGTCTTCTGTGTGAATGGACTTCTTCTGATTCAAAGTAAAATGGGAGAAGAAATAGAAATATTACTATTACTTCAATCATAGCTGAATGCATCCTTAAGTTCAATGAGAGTCAATTTCCCTAACTACTAGCAAATCAATCGGAAGCATTAAAAGGTAGCAGAGGACCAGTGACGTGGCTCGGATGGCAGAGCACAGGTCTTGCAAGTGTGAGGCCTGGTTTGTTCCCTGCCACACGTGTCCACACCCAGCTCCTCCAGCCACGGCCCTGGTGACTGCAGCATCAGAAACAATATAACGCCAAGGGACAGAGCATGAGACCTATGCCTGGGGTCCTGGGTCCTTCCCCATATTTCCCTGAAAAGAACTGGAGTCCAGAGTCAGGAGTATGGCCTGAGTACAGCCAGGTGTGGCCCAGAAACCAAAACCAAAAGTAAGTAAAACAAAAAAGAGGAGCGGGAGGAGACAGTACCGCAGGGAGGGCACTGGCCTTACATATGGTCTGACCAGGTTCCATCCCTGGCACCCCATGTGGTCCCCTGCGCCCTCTGGGAGTGATCAGTGAGCACAGAGCCAGGTGTTAGCCCTGAGCACAGGCCAGGTGTGGCCCCAAAGCAAAACAAAACACAAAAATCCCTCCAACTATACATATACTGTATACACATGGTATACAGTGTGCATACATACATACATGTCATATGTATACAGTTGCAGTTAACATCCTCTTGAGTATTCAGCAATTTTTTTTTTAACATTTAAGAACTCAAAACTTCAAACCCTACCTGCAAAATTATCATATGGTCACGTCCTTAAAAACAGCAAGACAAGGGGCTAGAGCAGTGGGTAAACGTTCAATCTCGGGCATCCCATATGGTTCCCCAAGCACCAGCAGACCTAACTCCTGAGTGCAGAGTCAGGAGTAAACCCTGAGCACTGCCAGCTGTGGCCCCCAGACAAAAAACAAAACAAACAGAACAGCAAGGAGAAAGTAAAGAAAGAAATTTTTCAAAGTAGTTAAAAATGAAAACAACTCGAACCTAGCTGAGACTTTCCCTAACAAAAATGACCTGCTTTGATCAGAAAATGCTTCTTCAGGGATCTCTAGATAGGTCACTGGAGCAAGCATGCCCTGAGTGGTCACCAGACCAGCTAAGGCTCCTCAGGCTTTCTACAGAGGCCCAGTTTCCACCACCTCTATACCCCCACCCACACCCCTGGTTCAGGGACGAATCCAGGACTGCCTTCAAACAAAGCTGGAAGAGTAAAACTGCCACAAACATTACCACGGCTATCTTCTAACAGAGAAGAATGACTGTTTCTAACATAGACTTGAAATCATAAAGAACTAAGAGTCCACATTTATTTACCAGAACAAAAAAGATATAAATCAAATTTATCAGACACATTTCAAATATACAGGTTTCCGGGCTGGAGCGATAGTACAGCAGGTGAGGCGTTTGCCTTGCACGTGGCCCACCTGGGCTCAATTCCCAGCATCGCATATGGTTCCCTGAACAACGCCAGGAGTGATTCCTGAGTGCAGAGCCAGGAGTAACCCCTGTGCAGTGCCGGGTGTGACCCAAAAAGCAAATAAATAAATAAATAAATAAATAGGTTTCCAGCAAAAAGAAAGGGGGGGGGGGGCAAACAATCACAATCGCAGAAAAGTACAAACACTTCACTGGACCCGGGACATAACTCAACAGTAGTAGCGTGTTCACCGGGGCTGTCCTAGCTCTTCATCCTCATATCCAACATGACAGAAGAACAGAATGCAATGCAGTGTGGCTTCTTCATTCCACTAGGAATCACCAATTTGAGACAAAAGGGAAAGACTGAGGGCCAAAGAGAGAGTACAGTGGGCAGGGCGCTGCTGTCCCACTGATCACAACATTTTATGCAAACAACTATCAGTGCGTGGCTATGGCATTTCATTTGTTTAGAGGGGGCTCCCAAGCAGTGCTCACACCATATACGACCGTCCCTGGAGCACCGTCAGCAGTGATCCCTAAGCACAGAGCCAGGAGTAAGTCCTAAGCACTACCAGGTGTGGCCCAAACCTCTTCCAAAAAATTAATTTACACTTGACAATTAACAGTAAAGAAAACAAACTCATTTTCCTTTTATGATTCAAAAAATTAATCTACCCCCCAACCAAGGCTCTAATTAAGCTCCGCTACTACTGTCCTCCCCTAGCACTCCACCCTTAACTAAGCTTTTTCTGAAATTTTTTTTTGGGTGGGGGGAGAGGAAGAGACCTGAAAATCAGTATTAATATTTAACTACCTACATACAAAATTGACACAATTTTGTACTTCAAAGTTAACTTAATGATACCATTAGGAAAGATCCTACTAGAAAGATACCACTAGAAAGATCCTGCCACTGTCACTGTCCTCCCGTTGTTCATCGATCTGCTCGAGCGGGCCCAGTAACGTCTCCATTGGAGACTTTGTTGTTACTGGGTTTGGCGTATTGAATACATCACGGGGAGCTTGCCATGCGGGCAAGATATTCCTGGTAGCTAGTCGGGCTCTCCGAGAGGGGAGAGGAATCGAACTCGGGTCAGCCATGTTGGCTGCGTGCAAGGTAAAAGCTCTACCGCTGTGCTATCACTCCAGCCCCTTTCCACTAGTAGGGGCAGGAATGATAGAGCCCGCAGCACCTTGGCTGAGGCTCGTGCCTTGCAGGTTGTCAATCCCAGTTCGACCCCCATCTCCACACATGGTCCCCCAACACCCCCACTCCAGCGCACAAACACTGCCAGGGTGTGGCCCATAAGAGGAGATGAAAGTAAAGATCTTTTCTATAGATCCTAAAACTTATCCAACATGTCCCACTATAGTAAGCAATGAAATTCCACAGAATTCTCACAATATAATTATACTAAGAATATACAATCACTTTCCTTCTTATAATAAAGGTTCAACTGATCGTGTTCAAAAGTGGAATATTTTACTGGCTTACAAAGAGTTTTTTTAACTTTTCTTTAAAAATTCAAAATCTTTTGTTGGTTTTGTTTTGGGCAATGCTCTGGCCTGCTCCTAGCTCTACACTCAGGGAGCACTCCTGGCGGTGCTGGGGGACCATACGGGATGCTGGGGATCAAATCTGGGTTCACAGCGTGCAGGGTAAGTACCCTATCTACTGCACTACCATTTGAGCCCTGGTTTACTAAGAGTTGGAAAATCACTTTTGAAGTATCAATTACTGCCAAAACTTATTTCAAACTTGAATGACTTCCTTTAGCCGGTAATGGTGAAAATAATCCATTGCAGAGCTGACTGCAATGTCTCAGCCCTTACAGACCACCATTCAAATACAGATTACAGTTCCCAAACTTATTTAGCCTGGTGTCGCCTCCTTTTCAAGGAAAGAGAATAATCACTAGGACTCCCCTGGAAAGGTACCTTCTTGAAATGTAACAAACAAGAAGCCAGAGAGAGAAGAAACAGGGTAAGGCGCCAGCGTGACCTGCGTTCAGTCCCGGGCACTGCATCTGGTCCCCCACGGGCACCAGCAGTGCCACTCCTGACCACAGGGCCGGGAGTAGCCGAGCACCTCCAGGTGTGATCCCCAAACTGTATAAATAAAGGAACGAACATAAAGACTCCCCCAGCTGCTCCCAAGGCACCTGTGCCCCCAGTAGTAAGTAGGGGAGCACTGTCTACTGTGGAAAACTCTCCAGTGGCAGCAAGACCGAGGGCTCGGCTAGCCTGCCTGCACTCTGAAGACAGATGGGATAATTTGTTTCTCATATTTTGCTCATTTACCTGGGCTTTTTCTCATGAAGAGATGATAATAGGGTCAGAGAGAGAGAGTAGAGAGTAAAGTACTTGCCTTGCATGAGGCTGACCCAGAGTTCAATCCCTGACACCCCGTATAGTCCCCCCAAGCCCCACCAGAAATGATCCCTGAGGGCAGAACCAGGAATAAGCCCTGAACGCTGCCAGGTGTAGACCCCAACAAAACAAAAATTTGTCTATTAGCTATAGAGGACATTTCAAATTACCAGGACCCTTTTCTCTAAATATTACAAGGTTTTTTTCCCCTTTTAAACTCTTACTCTTTGCTATATGGTATGTTGTTCGATTACAACAATTCAAAGCTAAAACTATCTTGAAAAGATTATGACATCCCTGAAAATAACTGAATTCCTCTTAACAGGATGAAGAACCAAATCTGGGCATCACCACTTAGCAAACAGTTCTAATGGTCACATTTTTACATTGTGATGGTCTCTCTTAGGATTTCCTTTCAGGGTCGCAGGTTTTATTTCTGTTTCTGCGGTGCTGGGGATTGAGCCCAGGGCCTCTCACATGTGGGACAGGAGAGCTTTATCCCGGCCCTGGATTTCCTTGCATGGAACTGTTCCAACTTCATTTGCCACACTTAGGAATAACATAAAAAAATCCGACAAAACTTTGCTATAAAGGCACATGGTACAAACATTTAAAATTTTTTGTTCAGTGGACTATGACAATTGATGCATGGAAGACGCGACAGTGAGCAAACTGGACTAATAGACTCCCAAGCTGATTCAGTGTTTCGTAAAGTGGACCATACCCCCACCTACACACTGGTGCTGGGCAGGTCCAGTCCACATCAGTGGTCTCTGGTGCAACCAAGGCCACTTTCTGTTTGTTCACTGAAAGAAGGTTCATTTCTAGGGTTCACTGAGTGGGTTTTTTTTTTTTTTTTTTTTTTAGTGGTGGACCACAGGGGTCTAGGAGGCTTTGGTGTCAATGCAAAACTTAAAAATTCATCATTCTGCCTATTATATAAAATGAGCCATTCTGTTGTGAAATTAACATGACAGAATGCCAAAATTACCTTTCTTTAATAATTAAGATACACATCTCATATAAATTTAACATGGCAAGACTAGTACAGCATAAAGGGAATCATAGTAAAGGTGTTTGTAATTTTTTACCTACTGGAGCTCATCTGGGAAGAATCCTTCTTCTTTTGTACAATTGTACAAACTCTGTTTTACTAAGAACTGGTCTGGTAGGGAAGGAAATAATAAAATGACATACCAGCCATTCCGCACACTAGCCTCCATTTGTAAAGCCAGAAGCCATGGAGTTTTACTGGATTAAATTAGATAAGCCGTGGGTGCACTATTTCTAGAATAGCGTGGAACACACTTGTCTCCTAGCCTATATATTTTTACTCAAATATGATGCTTTTCACCTTGCGATTCATGGTTGAGAGTAGAGAGTAAAACTGGTTAGCAAATACATTGCATTTGGAAAATGCTGCGATCCACAATTTTCAAAATTGAGGGAAAAAAGTGGCATAAATAGACAGGGCATTACGAGTCTAAAGGCCAAAACATTATGTGGATGTGATCAAAACGATCTCTATCCTTAACAATTTACTCAGGCTGCAAACATTCAGCAATGATTTGGTCACATAGCCATATCTGTAAACAATGATCAAAAGATAACTGACCACAAAATAAACAAAATCCAGCGACACTGTCTAACCTATCTTTAGACGGAGCCATTCATTTCTACTACAAAGATAGTGCAGAACGAAAACAAACGAGTGCCTTCTGGAGTCCATTTAGACCTACGCTGAAGCAGAATCAAATAAAGCGCATAATCTGGCTAAGCAGGGGAAATTGTTCTCTCTTTACTGTTACTCTATCATTTCCCTTTTTAGTTAACTTCTGAAGCTCGCCAGCCCACAACAATAAAAATGACAATTATCAGCAAGCCTTTCTCCTCTGCCCATTGTTCACCGCAGTTCCATCCAAGGTGTGCCTCGAGATTCCAATAAAGTTGAAAAAAAAAAAGGGAGAGAGAGAAAGGAAATTCGAAGCTTTCTTTTCCCCATCGTTCTTCAAAAACCACAAGGACCAAAGGTCCTGCAGAATCCTTCACTCGGACCCCTAAACTAATGATATCCACTCAAACAGGAATATGATGGGAGGCGCCAATAAAACAGGAGGCACCTTCCCATTCAATTACAGCGGGCACGGACTGCACAGAAGACAAAGCTCAAAAGGTTGACCCACACACACACACTAACAAACAGATAGCAAACCAAACCGACCCCTATTCCTCCAGTGCAATCGCCAGCTTGCAAACTGCAGCTACTCTCAAATTCCCTTCAAATGCAAAAAAAAAAAAAAAAGCAAACCCACCCGCGTTCCCGAGCGAGAGAGCGAGCACATCTCCGCGGCCACGGCCGCCAGGCAAGCCCTAACAAACACAGTGAGGAAGAAGAGGCGGATGGGGGGCGGCGGGCTGTTGCCACTAATCTCCCGGCGACCGACTGGGGGGCGTGTCCCCCAAACGTTTTTCTCTTCCCTGCCCGGGAGCCCGGAGCCCGGAGCCGGGGCGAGCTGCGCGCCCACCCACCCGCCCGTGCTGGCAGCTGCCCGGGCGCCCGCGCCCGGGGAGCCCCGGGGAGCCGCGACGCGCGCGAGGTGGGGCGCGGGCCGGGGGCGGCGCGCGCGTACCCGCTGCTCCCCGCACAGCAGCAGCTCCGGGTAGCTGAACTCCACGCAGCTCTCGTCCGTGGGGTCCTTGAGCACCAGCTCCAGGCGCACGGTCTCCCGCGGCGGCCTGCGCGGCGGCTCGGCGCGGGCGGCCGCCGGCTCCCGCGGCGGGGGCGGCGGCAAGTGCAGCTGCGGGAGCGACGGCGGCGGCGGCGGTGGCGGCGGCGGCGGCGGCGGCTCGGGCCGCGGGGGCTCGCGCTGCAGCGCCATGGGCGGCTGCTCGGCGCGGCTGACCTCGCGCGAAGGCGGCGGCGGCGGCGGCGGCGGCGCGGGGGGCGGCGGCGCGGGGGGCTGCGCGTCCGGCCGCGGGGCCGCCTCCCGGGCTGGGGCCGGCGGCTCCGGCGCGCGCGGCGCCTCGCGGTACGGCGGCGGCTCGCGGGCGGCCGCGGGCTCGGGCTCGCGCTCGGGCCCCGGGAAGTCGGCCTCGCGCCGCCTCACCGGTGACAGGCTGATGAAGGCGACGCGGCGCGGCTCCGCCATCCCCGCGCCGGTGGCGGCCCGCCGCCCGGGCTCGCGCCGGCGCCCGGCTCCGAGCCGCGGGGAGGTCCGCCCGCGCGCCCGCTCGCTCGCTCTCCGCCGCCTCGCTGCCCTCCGCCGCCCTCCGCCGTCGCCGCCGACGCCGCCGCGGGTGCGGACCGTGCCCCCGGCCCCGCCACTATGTTCTGCGGGGCGCCACCGCCATCACCAGGGTCGCCGCAGCCGCCATGTTGGATCCCCCACATAAATAGAAGCAGGCCGCCGAGCGGGCGCATGCGCAGACCGGAGACGCTCGCGTCCACCGTCGTGGCTGCGGCTCGCTTTTCCTCTTTTCCTCCCAACAGCCTGGAGTCCGGACAGGTCGGCGGAAGTGACGTCGGCGGGGCCGTCTCCCTGGAAACGGGGACGCCAGGGCCGCGCTTCCGGGTTGGGCGGAGCTGGGCGGAGCTGGGCGGGGAGGGGGGGCGAAATAGTGCTCGCGAGGTGCCGGCGAGTCGCACCCGGAAACCCGAGGCGCGCGTGGGGGCTGGCCGAGGGCGAGCGTCGGGATGTGCCTGCAGGAGACCTGGCCATGGCGCCCGGCCCTGCCCCTGGCCACCTCCCTCCTGCTCTCCGCGCCCGAGACCCCGGGCTCGGCTGCTGAGGCGGAGGAGGAGCTGGGCTCGCGGCCCCGCCTGCCCGCTCCGCTTCCCCGCGGACGGGAATCCCGGGGGAAGGAAGGCAGTGGCCACTTGCAGCCCGGCCCGGGCTTCCCTTCTTCCTGGACTTTATTCGAGGCTTTCTCGCCCGGTCAAGAGGGCAGTTGTGTGCGTGTATGTGTGTGTGTGAGTCTGTGTGTGCCCGTGCCCCTGTGCCCGGCCTGTGAACATGCCCAGTAACGTTCTCCAATTGCTTCTGAACGAGCCAGCGAACCACTGGCCTGGGCAAGATGGCAGTCGTGTGTGTGTGTGTGTGTGTGTGTGTGTGTCGCCTGGTCAAGATGGCAGGTGTGTGTGTGTGCGTGTGCGTGTGTGTGTACATATGTGTGTGTGCGCGCGCGCGCCCGGCCTGTCAACATGCCCAGTAACATTCGCCAATTGGTTTTGAACGAGCCAGAGAACCCCGGGCCAAACCCAAACGGTCGAAACCGAAAACGTGTCCGGCGTGAGCTGCCGACTCCAAGGAGACTCTGCGCCCGCCCTTCTTTCCGAGGGGGGAGGCGCTGTCGCGGGGCCCGCCCAGTGGGCACACCTGTGATCGTCCCATTGGCATTCGCTTTCCAAAGGCGCACAAGCACTTCCGTTCTCCTCCCCGAAGGGCTCCGCAGAAAGTGACTGTGAATCCCCACTCCCTTTCCGGGGTAGGTGCGGCCACGCGCTCTGAATCCCTCCTTAACCAGACCAGAGCACCCACCGCCGACCCTGAGCGTGTGTAACGTCAGCGGGGGTCCCTCTCCGCCCTTTCCTTGTTTGTACGAAAAGCTGATGGGGCTGACGGTGCCGTAGGTCCCGTCCTACTCGGAAAAGCTACGTTTTCTGCTTCCCACCCTTCATCTTCCATTGCTCCTCTCGTGATGATTCCGCAGGAAGGGTTCGCCTCTGGATTGTCGGTTGCGTCCAGGGCTACCGTTCTTCCTGCAGGTCTGGCGGCGACGCTGTATTGATGCTCGTAGAAACGCTTTTATAAAAGCTGGCATTCTCCTAGCTGCGGCTTCTCGGCGAAGTAAATGCTAAGCTTGCTCAGTTTCAGTGCCCACGATTAAGCTGCTCAGTTTCAGTAACCACGATGGAGCGCACAGATAGCAAAACGGTGATCTGTGGAACAGACCCTCCAGCAGCTGTGGTACTTCCTTACTGCACGTTATCTTCTGCTAACTCCCAGCTGCAATTCTCTGAAATACAATCCACAGTTAAGAAATTGGACATTGCAGGGCGATAGTACAGCGGATAGGGCGTGTGCCTCCTCCCCCCCCCCACCCCCGGACACCCCATTATGGTCCGTGATCTCTGAGCACAGAGCCTGGAGTAAACCGTGAGCATAGCAGGGTATAGCTTCAGAGAAGGAAGGGAGGAAGAGAAAGAAAGAAAGAAAGAAAGAAAGAAAGAAAGAAAGAAAGAAAGAAAGAAAGAAAGAAAGGAAAAAGAATTTGTAGGTTGTAACCTGATACACAAATACACCTGCCTTTCACAATATTTCATTTACTGTCTGAAGAACGGAGTTAACATGACAGTTTCCAGAGACAGGGAAACACCTAGTGCTGCTCAGGGTTTATTCCTGGTTCTGCTCTCAGGAATTACCCCTCATGAGCTTGGGGGACCATGGATGCCTGAAAATGAACCCCGGTCAGCCACGTGCAAGGCAAGTGTTCTACCCATTGTACTATGGCTCAGGCCCCCATATTCAAAACAAACCAATATAACAAATTTAGAAACAAATGAGGAAATACTTTAAGTAAAGCAGTAGGGCCAGAGAGGGGGTCCCGGGATTAAGGAGCTGGTGTGGCATGTGGGAGACTGACCCCCCACACACTAGATCTTACTGCTGGAATGGTCCCCTGAGCATTGCTGGGTGCAGCCCCTTAAAAAAACAAAAACAGAAATAAAGTTATGAAGGGTCTGGAGCGATAATACAGCAGGTACGGCATTTGCCTTGCACACTACCAATCCCAGGCTTGATCTCCCGCATCCCAGATGGTCCCCCAAGCACTGCCAGGAGCGATTCCTGATTGCAGAGCCTGGAGTAAAACCTGAGTATCACCAGGTAGTGGTTCCAAAACTAAATAAAAACTTAGAATAAAGCCCTGGAGTCCTTCCTTGTTCATAGGTTCATTCCAGAATGCGTGAGGAGGCTACATACACTGTTGAGCCTGATTGGGGGCTGGAAGTGGGGGATGAGGGGGATGAACACCCAACATTGCTCAGAACTTAATCCTGACCCCTGGTGATGCTTGGGGGACCATATGTGCCAGGGATAGAACTAGGGTAGGAATAAATACCAGCTTTACTATCTTGCTGCAAGCCTGATCTTTGCTTTTTTTCTGATAGGTGGGAGCAGGGCATTATGCAGGGGAGAGACCACATTCTTGCTATTTCTGGCTTGTGTGTGGTTACTTGGGATGGTTCTCAGGTGGGAATCCAACCCCGGGCCCTATGCACTAGTCTTTGCAGCTGTATCTTTGGTCCCTTTCCTCTTGTTTTAAAACAGCTTAGAGCCAGATCCATAGTATGTGAACAGAGCACTTGCCTTGCACACAGCCAACCGGGATTCCATCCTGGCACTACATGTGGTTCCCCGAGGCCTCCAGAATTGATCTGCAAGTACAAAGCCAGGAACAAGCCCTTAGCCCTGCCAGGTCTGGCCTCCCTCAAAATTGGAAACCCGAGTTCAGGTGATAAGCATGTGATTATCACCGGCTTAGGTGACTGTGAATAGCGATAATATGAATCCTTCTTAGCGAGACTTCTTTCATCTCCTATGGTAATCATTTTTCTGTGTAAATGAAATACGAAAACCACAATTTATTCTCTTCATAGATCACCAATGCTATTCCAAAAGTTTTGAAAACTAAGTTAATCATATGTATACTAGATATTTATTGCTTCGTGCTATTGTTTCTAGTAGATTTGAGTTTTTCTTTTCCTTTGGGCTTACTCTTGACAGTGCTTAGAGACCGTATGGGATGCTGAAAATCAAACCCCCGTCAGCCTTGTGCAAAGCAAGCTCTCTACACATGCTGTCCTATCTCTCCAGCCCAAGTTGAGCATTTTATGTGTGTCTCTTCTGTTTCCTGATTGTTTTTTGTTATTCCTTCACTGGTAGTTCTATTATGAATTACATCGTTTAAATTGTATTGACCTAAATACTGTTAGATTCGGTCCCAGAATATTTTTCTCCATGTGGACTATTAAAACTGTGTTATTACACATATCTTTCAAAAATGGTTATGCAATGTGCAGTTTTAGTAATCAAGTTGGACTGTAACTACATAATAACTATTGATTCTTCTAAATACTCTGTGTAATAGAGTTGATGTGGTGCTATTGTCCCAGAAGTAGTTTTTAATCTGTCAGCTGATTTATTACCAAAAGCCTATACAGCAAATCCATAAATGCTAAATGAATTTTTTTCCATAACTTTCCTTGATCCTTTTTTCTTTTCTTCTTTCAAGGTAGGTTTTATTAAAGCTTATTTAGAAAAAATGTGAGGAGACAAAGGGAGAAGTACATGTTCAACACAAAACACAGGTTTCTCGATTGGCAATAAGCAAAGAAACAAGATAATCAAGATGCATGTTCAAGGGAGAACACAGGCTTGAAGAGCAAACCAATCCTTTTTTCTTTGGCCACATTAACAAACCACTAAGGGGCCAGAGAGATTGCTCAATGGATAGAGCACATTCTTTGCATGCAGGTGGCCTACAGTCCAGCATGACATGGTCCCCTGAGCACCATATGGAGATGACCCCCAGCAAGGAATCAAAATTAGTAACCCCTAAGAACCACCAGCATGGCCTCCAAACTAACAATAACAGCAACCAAGCAACAAAACAAACAAAAAGAATTCCAAAGAAATACTAGAGCCTGTATCCCCATGTCTCCCCCAATCTAGCCCCGGAAAAGGATATGTGTAGCCCCCTTCATTATTTTCTATGAAGTTAAATTTGTTGCACTCTCTTTTGATAATTTTTTGGTTTAGGTCTTAGTTTTGTGGGAACCACACACCTGGCGGTGCTCAAGGCTTACTCCTGGTTCTGTGCTCAGAGATCATTCCTGACAGCTCAGGGGACCATACAGGGTAGCAGGGACTGAACCTGGGTTGGCCACATGCAAGGCAAGCGCCCTTCCCACTATATTATCACTCCGGACCCTCTTTTGGTTCTTGAATGCTGCTTGTGGGTGGACACATCAGCATTTACAGACTGAATGGTCAAACGGCACTTTCTGCCGCTACCCTACGACCACTACCAAATCCAGCTTAATTTTTGCCAGTTCTTGTTTTCATTTGTATTTCACTGATAACTAATTTGAACATCTCCTCATCTACCTGCTCGTCTTACACATTTTCCTTTTTTATAAATTGCCTATTTACCTCGATTTGCTCGAGCAGGCCCAGTAACGTTTCCATTGGAGACTTTGTTGTTACTGTGTTTGGCATATCGAATACGTCACGGGGAGCTTGCCAGGCTCTGCCAAGCACAGCGGTAGGGCGTTTGCCTTGCACGCAGCCAACATGGCCGACCCGAGTTCGATTCCTCCA